CGAAATCTGGTAAGACACTTATTTTCTCAGAAACTATTGAGAATTTACAATTTTTGTAAAAAGAAATATTATTAAGTTTATTAAACTCTACAGTAATATGAAGTTAAATAAATTTTTTTTTATTCCTTCATTGATAAAAATGTTTTTAAATGGGAACCACTATTAGCTTCGATGCGAAGCTGAGAAGGTTTTGGTTTTACTAAGATGTGTTTATTTAATTTTTTTTTTTGTGTCTGTTACCACTTTTTCTCAACTCTCACCAAACCGATTTCTTTGAATGATACGTCAAAAGATCACAAACCGTATCTAATCGAAGACATTACCCTCAAAAATTGAAAAAAAATCCCTCATTCCCAGTAAATGGGGGAAACCTCCAAAAAAATTACAAATTTAAAAATCGCTAATTTTTTCAATTTTTTCAATTTTTTTTACTTAAAAGTGCTATAACTTTTTCAAAAATAAACATATCAATATACTTATTTTTTATATAGATGCACGATATCATGACCTTTCATTTGGTATATTTTTTTTATAAATTTAACCCTTAATCTGCCCACAAAGTGAGATTTAAAATGACAACTTTTTCACAAAAAATTTACTTTTTCAACTTAACTTTTGAAAATGTTTCGTAAGGTCTGACACTTTTATATATATCTTAAATTAAAGCTAATGTAATATACTTTATTATGAAAAAAAAAAATTTTGGAATTTATATTATCTTCACGGTGAAAATGGCTACCAAATGCTATTTTTGTGTGAAAATTCTCGATTTTATTTTTTACATTTTTAACATTATAATGCTATAACTTATTGAAAAGTGTATGGATCAACATAATTTTTTTATGAGAAATAATATTTTTTAATAATCCCTTTTTCATTCGACATACTTTATCTTAATCAGGGTATTAATAAGAAACTAGCAGATCATGTAGCTTTTGGAATAATCCACCAATTTTTTAAAATTAAATACTATATAAAGATTTGCATCGAAGCGTTTTTTATGATAGTGATTTTAATCACTGTCAGATATCATTATACTTGATCCAACTATGTTACGTCACCACTGTGCCGCGACCCCCCTTGGCTGGATTTTTTTTTATTTGATAATATGATAGAAAAAAAATTACAACCGATTTTGTTCTTGTAATTTTTTTTATCCTTGAAGGGACGAAAAAAATAATGGTTTGACTATATATTATTTTAGAGTTTTTTGAACTTGATATTTTTTCTCTATAATAAAATTTAAAATTCTCAATATTTTCTGAGAAAATGAGTGTCTTACCAGATTTCAATCACTCTGTATATATATATATATATATCAATGTTTGTATGAGAGAGGTGCTTAATACTAATGTCAGTAGGGCGTCAAGATAAATAGACAATAATATTTATAAATAAAAACAAAATAATATGTACAATAGATACTTGTCTACAATGACGACAATGGCTGATTATTGTAACTGGAAGGCGAATGAATTCGTTGGTAGGACGAATAAACCAGGCAAAACGTAATGTCGCAAACAGTACTTCAAAAACTACAAATACTTAATAAGCACATACGTGGTTTATTTTATTTTAATGTATAGGATTACGAGAGATGTTCAATGCTCTTGTGGTAGTGAACGCTAATGCACAAGGGTGCGGCAAACGCAAGAGCGATATGTCAACTTTCAACAACTACGTGCTATTATGCATCATAGAGTCATGTAGCAAAACTAGTTAAGATGGCGGTGATCATTTAGACACAATTAAAAAGAAAAAGAAAAAGAAAATCAGGAACTCAATGACATACAATGATAACACACGCATCAGTAACACGCAATGTCCGTATGAAGCGTTGTGAGACGGTCAAGACTCCTATCTCTCACAATGAAAGGCAACGATAGCTATGGTGTTGTTATCAAATTAATATAACATACATTGACAGCTTAATTAATAATGTATCCAACAACCCACACGAAGGTTTCTATCGCCAGAAATCAATCACAAATAATTATAAAGCATCTCAGGTTCCACTAGAGATCGGTGTTTTACTTTCTCCAATATATAAAAAGGCCATTTTTTCCTAATAAGAAGAACTTCTTATTTTTGGTGAAATTATTAGTCAGTATTCTTTTACACGAAATCTGCTTCAGTATAAGTAAATATTTTGTCCCCAAAAATAATTTTTTTTCTTATAAATATATAATAATAATTTTATCACCCTAAATGGTAAACATTATTTTTAGATAATTTAAAATATTTTACCAAAGAATAAGTCTTATTTATTTTTACCTAAACATCTTACTAGGAATTAATATTATTTTATTATATTTGATAATTTTAAATATTTTCGTGTCCTTCATTTTTGGACAGCCTTAAATGTGTTGAATAGAGTGAATAAGCCAAATATTGTAATTAATAATAATTAATGCAGCAGTTGTACTCTATGCCTTTGTATCCGTCAGTCATAAAGCGAAGTGTTACCTTTTTGGTAACGCATAAGCAATTGGTGTAAAAAGATATACTGATAACACAAGTGTGTTTCAATTATTATATATTTTAGTGTGCAATTTCTATCAATAAGCCAATTTTCCAACAAGAAATCTGGATATAGATTATTATTTATTATATATATAGTACATTAAAACTATATAAAATGTCCACATTGGAAATATCCTCAGCGTGTGTACCTGTCAGTCTTATGCCTATGCCCGTCCTTTTTGGTAGTAACGCATAAACAGTTGGCATTTAAGATATTAAGAAGTGTATTGTAATAATATTTAATATACAGGGTGGCCCACCACTCACTGACAACTTAAATAACTTTTGATCCAGTTAATATTTTTAGCTGATTTTTTTTTTTAAATAATAGTTTTACGTTAGGTCCATAGCTATATCTCAATAATTAATTTTTTTACATATTACTAAAAATATTATTTATTTTTTAATTTTAAATAAAATATAAAAAAAAAAATCTAAGATAGCTATTTTGTAGAGTAGAATTTAAGAAAAATTTTAGTAAAAAAATATCTTATTAATATTGAGTAGTAAATATTCTGTAGCGTTTTGAAGTTTGTGAAAATTTGAATTTTCATGTATTATTTTACGGTATTAAACATTGAAATACGTATTGAGAAAAGGACAGAAGAAAACGCTATCTTTTCATGATTACTGTGTATACATATGATGATAATGTGTATACATTACAAACTTGGCATTAATACCATGATAAGAAATTAGATAAGGCAATTATTACTTATCACTCTCATTCAAAAGTATATTGAAAAGATAGCGTTTTCTTCTGTCCTTTTCTCAATACGTATTTCAAT